CACAAGTCTGCTCTGATGCATGCTCGATAAAGAGGGCGGGGTGAGAACAACATCCGGGGATTTGGTGCGTTCTTGATCTGGCGTTCTCGAGAATTGGAACGGTACTCGGGCTGAGGCTGAGTCGTAAAGGAAATTGTTGGCCTGGATGAATAGGCGAGATGTTCTGTCCCCCTATATGGGGGTTGAGATGATAGCGGGAAGGAATCAACTCTATCGCTGAATTGTAGGTTTTTATAAGCTGCAATCTGAGCCCCCCCCCCCTGTTTAAGGTTGTTTTTTCTTTAACATAGATGGCTTCCTTCACGCCCCTCTCAAACCACCTGCCTTCTTTGTCCAAAATGTGAACATTCTGGTCCCCCAAAGAATGTCCTTTGTCCATCAGGTGTTGATGTACTGCAGAGTCTTGTCCAGAGGAGGGCGCTCTTCTGCGTTAGGCCATTCGTCTGTGTAGAGGTTGTTTGGTTTCTCCAATATAAAGATCAGAGCATTCCTCTCTGCATTGAACTGCAGACACCGCGACTTTAGGGTCTGTTTGGTTTGAAATAGTTTGAAATTTGGAGAAAATCCTCTTGAGTTTTTCAGAGTCTCCAGCAACAGTGGAGATGTTTTTGCATTTAATCTTCTTACCTTTATGTTCTGCTGCTTATCTATTAGATTTCCTTGCTGATTTTAAATGTGACTAAAGGCAAAGCGGAGGAGAACTACTGAGACACAAGCCTGGAAATAAGAATTTCAAGGTTTTTCACAGCAGGAAGGTTTTAATCTGGTGAAGAATTGGTGAATTGATATTAATACTTGACGTTTAATAAAGAGCTTTATAAAAGCATCTCTCATGGGACACGCATTTCTTGACCATGTAGCTAAACTGGTGTTGATTGATGGTTGTAATGTCTGCATTTCTTCATGTTTAGTTTCCTAGAGAACTAGATTATCTGTAAATGTGAGGATTTGCTGCCAGTGTTTGCATATTGCTCATTTTGCTGTGTGGCATAAAGGTAAGAGTGTTGCTGCTTGCGTCTCGTTGGCGTGTTTGCAGATAGTCTGACGAGCTGCTGAGCTGCTCGCCAACTGTTTTAAGCATCTGCTTCTCTTCCCCTTCCTGGAGGCATGAATTATCTGTTTATTTATTCAACAGTAGCGTTATTCTGGCAGCAGAGCCGCATTATGCAGGCAGCCCTCCTGCTGTTTACCAAAACTCATCTTGCTTTTTATGGCTGTGCTGACTCGTAAACCTTCTGGGGCAAACAGTCGACCGAGTCGGCCGCCTTGGGACATGCTTACACATTAATAGAGAGATGAAGAGCTGCTTTCAGTTAAAGCTTGAACTGTGACGACGGTGCCACCAGCAAACATTACACATGGAATGATAACCTACAGGTTTTTATTTGGGGGGAATCATTTATTTTTTCTATAAACTACAGTCCGTTCCTCCAGGAACACACAAGAGAGTGCAATCACTGTTCTTATCAGCACTGTCTTTACTGACTAATTCATCATTTACTCTAAACTTAAGCGCAGTCACAATCAGATATCCCTATCAACACTCTCACTTCACTCTAAAGTCATCATTAAAATCCTTTCATTTAAACGATCTGTCATTCCAATGTTTATTCAGCAGATTGTTTCAGGTTCTACCTTTCAATACTTGTCAGTTTAAAGGTATCTGGAACAAAATGTATTCAGCCTGAACATCCTATGGATGTTTCAGCTCATTATTTTGTGCATATAAGCTCAAATCACCGTCACTAATATGGATTAATATCATTTAAAGGAATAGTACACCCAAAACATGATTAGCCTTCATTTTCTACTCACCCCCATGCTGAACAACACTCTGGAGTACTTTTTTG